CTCAACATAAAAGTTTGTATATGTATGAAACAATAAGGAAACATATGATTATTTGCAATCTACATGTTATTCATCATCAACTGGTAGTTCTGTATTACTGAGCTTTCCAAAGCTCGCTCTATTACTCACCTTTTCATGTTAAAAGGATTGAACTAGTGCAACTATCGACATCCGTAAGGGAGTTCTTCCGGCATTGCTTGCGGAGTATGTTGCATGTGATTAGGGGGCATGTATGTTGTATTATGTTTTATATTCGAGTCTAAAATCTGTTTTATTTCTGAATGCTTATAAATTTTACTTTTTGTATTTATAAATTATTTTTATGATTTTACATGTTTTATCAAAAAAAATTATTTTTTCCTAGATTTGTTTATGGTGGGTCGCTCCGGTGGCTCTAATTTGACACCCCTGATAGGATCGGGATACCCATACCGGTCTGTGTGTGTTACTTTTAGTAGTATCAGAGCTTAGGTTGAGTCAAATTTTTCTTGATAGACCGGTTGGTCGGTAGTCAAAACATGTCTGGTCAGTACATGCCCCTAGACTACAACTGTACTTCTTTAAGCTGGAACACCAAAGTCGAGCTCTTCTCTATAATAAGCTAACATAAGTTTTATATCAGTTAGGGCTCAACCTATGCATAAAGGAATATCAATAACGATTGTTTAAATTTTGTAAAGTACCTCACGAGTAATGTGAGAGTTACTTATCCAAGAAATTCTGACCAGACTCTAGAAATGAAATTGTGAGATTTTATCGCTCTATGAACCTAACCTCTTAACCATTGATGAATTGATTCCACAAAGATGATTCCGTTCTGATTCTTTTATTGGAATGAGGGAGTGTTCTGATGAGAATGTATACTCAGCTAGTTAGGGATTAGAAGAGGACCATTACTTATGTAAAAGCTACTTGAAGATATGGAAGAACTGATGGAAACTTCATTTTTGCATTTATGTGACTTGAGTGAATTTCAAGGACGAAATTCTTTTAAGGAGTAGAGAATTGTCACACCCCAATTTAGGGGTCAAATTATAAGTTTTAGAAACTTATAGTCAGTTTTAGAAAGTTGCAGGAAATTCGGGGGACCCAGTCCTGAATTTGCCCATTTTTCTTTTATATTGAAACACTTAACCTCATCCGTATTCGAAATTAAGAACCCCAACCTATTTTCTTTTCTCTCCAACCAGAACCACCTCCGTTATCCTCCGGCTAACCGTTTCCAATCAGTAGTGGTGTACACCGCCGAAACCACTAAGCTCAGTAATGACCAGCGATCCAACCTCAACCCTTCGATCACTCAATCTGGTCGCCGTTAGGCACGAATTTGAGAAAAACCCATTGGTTCGCCCTCCTCATTTTGACGTCACCATCTGTCAGTGGGTGTCACCGCTGACACCAACTGACTTGTCATCACCGTCCGATCAAATCTCAGTAGACCACTATCGATGAACTATCACCATCTGTTGTGGAAAGCATTCAAAAACTCATCGGAAAAACCAAAGGTTTTCCTTGTGTTTCGAATCGATTTTCAGCCGCCTCTGTCGCCGGTTTCCTTCACCACCACCATAGCCAAACTCCCCTTTGTCGTGTGTATAAAACCCAGTCGACAGGTCACCATGTTATCTCTGTTTTCACCGATCGTCGAATGAGGTGAGATTTTAATTTATTTTCGGTGAGCTTTGGAATGTATTTGCTGTGTTATTGGGTTATTCATGATTAAATCGTGTATGTGGATGATAAGGGAAGAATCAGCCGCCCAGAACTGCCCTTGTCACCTTCGCACGTGCCGCTACGCGCTAATAGTGCACGTGGTACTCTCCAACAGGTCCAGGAAGATTTTGGAACCGGTCTAATCGGACCGGGTCTGGTTGACCCGACCAAATCAATCCGGACTGGGTCAACTTATCTGAGCCAACTCGTCCGAGTCAACCTTTTGGCTTTGATCGTTGACCTTGACCCAAAAAGTCAACTTTTTAGAAAATGTCTTATTCTATGTTTTTTGACGTCACGAGTCTGAATCCGAAGTTCATTTTTCCAAATTCGCACCTGGTAAGGCGTTTTCAGTGATTTATCTTCATATTCAAATTGGTTTCTCAATTATGTTCAGTTTCTCAATAAAGAATTATTGGACATTGAATTAAAGTTCGAGGGTGATCGAATGGAGTTTAAAAGCGTCGATCGATAAGGCACAAAAATCGGGTAATACATTACTACCTTTTTCATGCTTTATGGAACATGTTCGTATTGATTACTGCATGGATGAATATAATTGTTCCATTTTATGTATTTAACTATCATTGGACTCAGACGTAAATTGGATTAAAGATATAACATTATATAAGATTCTAACAACTCGAAAAAGAAATTGGTATACTGACTGGAAACAAATTTAAGTTCAATGATTTAATCAGTAAATCAATCAATCTCAGAACACAAAATCTAATTAATCTCGTTAAAGGTTAAATGTTGGAAATATTTGGATAATGAAACTACCAATAGCACTATAGGTAAAATTATGAAAATGCCCTTGTACTGAAAAATGACCAAGACTTCCCCTAGTGGTGAAAATAACCTAATGATCAATTGAACAAAGTACACAGAATTCTAAAGGAATTAGAATACTTTCAATACTAAGTTATCCAAAGTAATGCCGCTGACAAAATTGAATGAAATGACAGTAATACCCTTAAAGTGTATAAAGACTATGGATAAATATGATAATGGAGACGACTTAAGAACTTAAATTATGATCCACTTGAATTTGGGGATCATCGATTAAATTTTTTATTTAGTTGGAATGCCCCTGAAGTGTAATATGATTTGAAGCAAGTCCAAGCTCTGGAATAACTAAATGCCCTCAACTTTGAAATGAACAAATCAACCTCGTATACCAATATGACTATATTATATGACCAAGTTAAACGAAATAAAAGTACTGAATGTATTCGAATTTTGGAAACGACCGAATTACTCCGGAAACTTCGAAGTAATCGGGATAGACTTGACTATTAAATGGCCTAAGTACCCTCAATGACCTTGAATTAAGAGAATAACTTGGATAAGTCTGGAAACATCAATGGTTATATATATGTTGTACCGTCTATAAGGGTTTGAACCACGAATCAAGCACTTTGACATTTCTTAATAACGTTGCAATGCCGAATTGAAATACCTGTTAGTTTTCCTAAGATCCATTCAACAATGATTCTAAAGATGATCAATTCGACAAGAATTGTCTGCATTGAAAAGTGAATACTCTGGAAGTGTAACAATTTAACCAGTTGACATGTATCATTGATGGGACTTGTACAATTCGATTTAACTCAATATTTCGATAGATAGACACAAATCATAAATGCCTTGAATCTTCGTTTCTCCCTTATCAGTCCAAATCACTAAGAATTCTTCAAGAACCTAATGCCCAAAATGCCTCTGATTTCCTGAATAATGGAATTTCTCTTGTCATATATGAAAACACAAGTAACTCAGATGCAAAGGATTCAATAGTGCCTCCGAAAAATGTCCGAATACTATATAATCCTGATATATCACGTTCTGAATAATTGATGACCTCGTCAGCTAATGAACTCTTTCGATAGTGATTCTAACTTCCAGCGTTCTATCGGTATATTGAGGATCCGTGTTTTCATGCATGATAAGATTATCATGTACCTCCGAATAATTTCTAGAACCTCTAGTGTGTTCCCTGACCACACATATATTTTCTTTTATTTCTATTATGATCTCTGCTATGATTTATGATATCTTTGTTTATTGACTGAAATTATTTTTATACGGGGTACTTTGGGACTCTGGTATGAGTGAAGACTCTGTAAGGTTCATTCATTGATGGTAATTCATTGTATAGGTTCAACACTGAATGATAATTCCTTATCTCTAGCAGGTTCAGTCGTTGCTGGTAATTCCTTATATAGGTTCAGCCCCGACTGGTAATTCCTTATTGACCTAAGGTGACCCTTAGGTAGGCTCTGCGACCCCAAGAATCTTTCTTGGGTAGGCTCTCAGGCCCCAAGGATCTCCCTTAGGTTATGCAGTTATGTGGAGCTGTATATAACGTTCGGTTGGAGGGATTACTATGGTTTTTGAAAAATACGTTTTAAACTATTATTGTTTTAAAAAGATATGTACCTTTTTACTTGTTTTGGAGGAACACACTAGACACCTTATTCTGATCTCTTGAACCCAATCATCCGAAACATTTCCTCTGAACTGAAAACTTACTGTCATTTACTATATGAGATAACAGTGGGACCTCAGCTCAGCATAAAAAGTCTGTAGATTTCTGAAACAATAAGGAACATATTTTTATCTGTTATCTACATGTTCTTCAGTATCAACTGGTAGTTCTGTATTACTGAGCTTTCCAAAGCTCACTCTGTTACTCACATTTTCAGGTTAAAAGGATTGAACCAGTGCAACCATCGACATCAGTAAGGGAGTTCTTTCGACATTGCTTGCGGAGTATGATGCATGTGATTAGGGGGCATGTAGGTTGTATTATGTTTTATATTCGAGTCTGAAATTTGTTTTATTTATGAATACTTGTATTTATAAATTGTTTTTATGATTTTACATATTTTAGCAAAAATTTTAATTTTGCACGGATTTTTTTACGGTGGGTCGCTCCAGTGGCTCTAATGTGACACCTCGGATTAGATCAGGCCACCCGTATCGATCCGTGGCATTACAAGTTGAATAAAATTAATTAAATAATAATATCAATAATTATTTTAAAAATTTTAAAACAATGAAAAAATATTTTGTTGTGTTGTTAGGTTTTTAACAATGAATATTAAAATGAAACAAAAAGTAGTAAATGTTTGGAATAATTTTGAAACAAATAAAAGTTTAGACGCTAAAACAAAATAAAAATGATATTTTACATACTGAACGTGTAGTTTACCCAAAATCTAAACAACTTTGTATATAACAATGCGGTAGCTAGATGTCCCCTTTTCCTCTTTGTATCTCAATTGAATTGCTTAACAGCCAAGAAAATCATTTCCAACACTCAAAAAACGAAGAACTCAATTCGTCTTTGCGATCAAGATGAAGCTGAGACTGAGAGATTATGAATCCAAAGAAACCCAAAGAATTCAACTTCCATCGTCTTGTTCTTTCTTACAACTGCAGGAAACCCTCTTCGCTTCTCTCCCGTCGCCTCCGCCTCATCTTTCTCCATCTTCAATTTGTTTTTCGCTCAACGCCAAGGACCGGCTTCTTGCGCCGTCACCTCACACTTCCCTTCAATCCATCGGTGTTGCCTCCGGTGACCTTATCTATATCTCCTTCAATCCAAACGCTTTTTCTGCCGTTCCTTCCACTCAAGAACCTCAATCAGTAACCATAGCTCAAGATCCGAATCAGATGCCGGAATCTAGCAACAATCAAGAGACCCCAGTCCAAGAATTGAATCAATTTCAAGATCCCATTTCAACAGAGCCCGAAATTTCTCAAGAAACCCAAGGAACGGAACTTATGGACATCGATGATTTCGCCCTTGTTGCAAAGTTATCGGAGCCCTATTTCTTGAGGAAGGTTTTGGGTGAAGAGCTGGGTGATAATGGAAGCATTCACAAGTTGTTGGCGATTGCGGTCCATGCGGTTTTACTGGAATCGGGTTTTGTGGGGATTGATCCCGTTTCGGGGATGCAAAATGATCGGTTTCATTTGCCAGATGAGTTCGCTTCTCCTTTCTCACTTTGTTATTCTCTGCCTGACCTCTTGAGGGCTGATTATTACAAATCTTCCGGTTCTAATTTGACTGATTATGTTGTTTTGAAGTTTTTAACTTTAGGGCAATTCATTCAGGTCTATGGGTCTCTAGTTAAGGGGTCTATGTTGTATAAATTGTCTCTAGATGAACATAGGTTCGCCCCTACTTTGAATCTAGTGTGGGTAAATTGTGATAAGAATGATAAGAAAGATGGTTCTATTAGTTCATATCCTGAGAATGAAGTTTTTGAGTTTTGGAGGATTGTTAAGGATGGGCTTGCATTGCCATTGTTGATAGATCTTTGTTCCGAGACTGGTTTGGCTCTTCCAGCTTGTCTGATCCGTCTCCCGACTGAGTTGAAACTCAAGATTCTGGAGTCGTTGCCCGGTGCTGACATCGCAAGAATGGAATGTGTTTGCTCAGAGATGCGGTATCTGGCTTCGAACAATGATATGTGGAGGCAGAAATTTACAGAAGAGTTTGGAGATTCATCAGGAGCAGCAGGAATGGGGAACTGGAAAAAGATGTTCCATTCATGTTGGGAGAATAGGAAGAAACGGAGCCGGGAGATTACGAGGTGGCAAGGGTATCCTCGTGTTGATAGACCATTTTTCATCCCGACGTGGAGAGATCCCAACCCAATGTTTGCCCCACTTGGAGTTCCTCGTATAGTTGGCGGTGATTACGACTTAATGCCTGGTGTCATCATGCCCTATCCTCTTCCACTTCGATTTCGAGGGCGACAGAATGCTGGACTTCATTGTAATCTTGGAGGACAGAATGACGCTTAGTTGCTGGTGAGCTTCAGTAATTCCTTCTTTGAAAGTAAATAGAAAAAAGATGTTTTGTATATGTAATTGTATCATGAGAACAAATCTTGGTTTGGTAGAAGGGAAGAAACAAGATGAGAATATGCAGTTTGTTGAGTTTTGATGCTTGTAAGCACCATGACTGACTTTGTTTTATCATTGATGATATGTATGCTATTGTAAGTATTGTTATTTATTACTGCTGAAGAAGGAATAAACGAAAACCAAATCTTATGCACAAACAACACCTATCATCATAGAATGACAAATTGGACTTTCTTAATTCCCAAGGAAGGTCTAAAATATATAATTTTTTTATTAAGCTAAGGTGATTTTACAAAGTAGTATATGTTTTAAGTACTCTCAATCAACTATTTGACAATGATCGCTCAATCACTCTTATAGTTGTTGTTGTTGAAATCCGTGACCTCTAGAAATAATAACATTTTTTTAACCACTGAAGTAATTTGTTCGTGTGTTTAAAATGCTTACTTAAAGGCAATAAGAAACTCATCAACACATTTTTAACCTACAAAAGCACCCAACATGCAAAGCATATAAAAGATCATAACATTTTGAAACTTATCTAAACAAATGATATACTATCTAAAATCAGTATTTACTTACAAATCATTTATTTAACCTATAAAGATCTAGTATGCATCAAAATATGAACTTTTCATACATCTTAACACGTACCAAAGCTCATAATTCACTTAAAACCTATTAGTCAAGTATAATATCATGTCAACCATCAAGCAGACAAGCACCCACATATTAAGCAAACTCTTTTCATATGAAACTAACACATTGATCACATGATTCATACATTAGCATACACTAATATAGAATCCAACATAACACTTTTTTTAGAACAATTTCTAAAGGAGGGAAAAAGGGGAATTTTGCTCCTAATATGTATTAAACCTACAATTTAAGAATGAGGGGAGGTGTCAATTTAAAGCTTTTAAGTTTTAACTATATGTTTTAAAGATTGTTGACAACTTAACACATACTTATATACATAGCACCAAAGTTAATATTCAAAATAAATAGTACCCGTTGGATTAATTTAGATTTTAGCACCCGTTGGGTACTTGGGCTTAGATGGATAAACGAATCAACAACACCCTAGGTAACACAAATAAGGTTTATAGCCACATAATACCCATGTGTAACTCAATACTATACACATCTCTAACCTGTAACACAAGCACTAAAGGGATCTTATGACATGCCGAATATATCCGTAAGAGTACTAAGATAACCAAGACTTAAATTATAATATTTTCACATATAAAAAATCATTTAGATTTTTTTCGCACAACAAATTTAAGCTTATTAATATTAGTAAAATTGGCCAAAGGCCATAAAGTTTCCAAATGGTGCTTTAATGAAGCATGAACATAAAATCAAGCATTGAATTACACTCCAAAACAAAGATAAAAAAATATAAGTAAAACATCATGAATGGACGACCATAGTATACTGACCTAAAAACAACATCAACTATAGTAAATCGACAAACTCACTAAGAGATGTTTAACATATCAATTAAAATGATGTACTGCCGTTTCCATTTTAAAGTTAGCATATCAATTTTCATGTCAATCTCCGTATTCACAACATATCTAACACATTTAACAAGGTTATTGTTCCTTGGTCATGTTGTTTCAGCTGAGGGTATTTAAGTTACTCCGAATAAGATTAAGGCGATAGTCTTATGGAAGCCGCCTAAGAGTGTTACCAATATTCGCAGTTTTCTTGGGTTGGCTGGTTATTACCTTCGTTTCGTGGAAGGTTTTTTTGCTTATTGCAACTCATTTAACAAGGTTATTGTAAAAGAATGCTTAGTTATAGTGGACGTAAGAGAGGCAGAGTAGTTTTGAGAAGTTTAAGATGGTGTTGACAAAAGCTCCTGTTTTGGTGCAAATCGTGTTGAGAAAGGATTTTATGGTGTTCAATGATGCATATATTACATGTCTTAGGTACATGTTGATGCAAGACGTTAGGGTGGTTGCTTATATGTCAAGACAGTTAAAGTCACTTTGACGACGTTAACATGAAACTCGTCAAAAAATCCATCGTAATACGCTTCCACTTCTACTTTGAAATACTAATATGCGGAAGCAACCCTGAAGGACATTGATGCTTAGGTTTTACACCCTGACAAGCGAAGCAATATCCAATAAACTCAACAACCGCACGCTTCAATCCCAACCACCAATACAACTCTCGCAAATCCTTATTCATCTTCGTACTATCTGAATATTAGAATATTAGAATGTTAATAAGATTAGTTAGTATTTGTTATTCTGTTAGCACTTCAGTTAGTTGGTTAGCAGGTTGTTAAAGGGCTATATAAGCCTAGCAATGTAGTGGATTAAATCAAGCATTGTTTGTAATTCATTTTCACATTTTTTAGTAAAACACAATTTCTTGCCGCTCATCTCTTCTTCAAGCACACCTTGCCATTGATGGCCCCTTTCTCACATGATATCATTCGCTAAAAGATCCTGGCGTCGTTTACTCTTCCGCTGTTGCGCCGACGATTGAGTTCATTTTTCCTTAAGCTGTAGTTATTGTAGAGTTTATTTTGATGATCTTGATGCCGTGGTTTATGCCACGAGTATCATCCTCACCGTTGAGCTGTAACGACTTATTGTCATTCCGATTGTTGATGGATCGTTGCAGGGAAGGAGAAGCTACTATCAAGAGGTTAGAAGGGGTCGTAGCCCTTGCCCAAAAAGAGAAGAAAGCCAAAGTTCGATTAATAACTTCTCAGTTACACTTTCTCCAAAACAATCTGAACAAAGCTTTGATGATCGAGAAATTCTCAAACTTCCCTGCCTGAGATGACTCTGTACCAGTAATGGTGATTGAGAAAGAACCTGCTCTGCTAGGAGAAGAGGAGGCAAAGGACAAAACTCAGGATTCAAAATCAAAGAAAACTTCATCATTTTTTGCGGTCGTGGAAGCCGATAAACTTTTCTTGAAATTGAGGCAAACCATACACGTAAAGCTCAAAACCCAAGAAGAAGAAGCGGTATACCGTCTGGTTTCTGCCCAACCGGATGTTACTGATTGGAAATTCTTTTTGGGAACGTTGTTGGGTGGTATGGGTCAAACCAAGAAAGCGTACAAGCTGTTCAACAAAATTCTTCAGTCAGATCCAAATACATATTTGTCTAGAAAACCTGGTGTGAAGGCCCTGGCGACGACTATATCCCTTGCTTTAACAGAAAATAATCCTGAGACTGATTTCGGGACACTGAAAAAGGGTACACAAATATTCATTACTAGCTTTATATGCTAGCACACCAATTTGATCCACTCCCACCACCTATGGGAGCTGGTGCTTCAACCCATTTCTTGAAGTGTAGAAAGTATAGTGCAGAAACCATTAAGTGTGGAATGACTGCTATTTTTTCCCCACCATTTATTGACACCATAAGTTCTATGTTACTTTTCTTTCTGCTCAAAGTTTCCGTTACTTATGAGACTTTGTTCGACTATGCTTTGGCGATGGATCGTTACTAGGGATTGGCTTTGTTTCATCTACTACTTATAATATGGCGTGTTGCATGGTGTTGCATTGCTGGTTATTTTGGATTTTGCATCTTCATGATTTGTTGCTTTTATCTTAAAGTGTCATTGGAACTTGAAAGCTTCACACCCAAGCGTCCATGGGAGAAAAAAATGTCAAGGAACCTTGTATAAGAGGATGAAGAAGAAAGAAATGAAGGTGAATAAGAAGAACGAAAGAAAGCATCACACTTCTGATTCAAGTCGAACGGAAGGAAGCATCGGCACTTCCGATTCAAGTCGAATGGAAGTAAGCATCAACACTTCCAATTCAAGTCGAACGGAAGAAGGCATCGGCACTTCCGATTCATGTAGAACGGAAGGAAGCATCGGCACTTCCGATTCAAGTCGAACGGAAGGAAGCATCGACACTTCTGATTCAAGTTGAACGGAAGGATGTATCACACTTTCGTTTCAACTGTTTGTCTTTTTATCAAGAAGGTTGAAGAAGTCGGGTGAATATTAGAATATTAATAAGATTAGTTAGTATTAGTTATTCTGTTAGCACTTCAGTTAATTGGTTAGCTGGTTGTTAGAGGGCTATATAAGCCTAGCAATGTAGTGGATTAAATCAAGCATTGTTTGTAATTCATTTTCACATTTTCTAGTAAAACACAATTTCTTGCTGCTCATCTTTTCTTCACGCACACCTTGCCATTGATGGGCCCTTTCTCATACTGGACGCATCACAAATGGCCCACTATGTGCCTCCGAAAGAATTTCACGCCTCAAACTCGAATTCACATGCACACATAACCTACCTCGGAAACACAATACACCCTCATAATTCAACAAGAAATCACCACCTTAACCATCTCTCGCGAGCTGCAACTTATCTTCCAACTTCCTATCAATGGATTGCAAATCACAAATACTTTGCGACCACATAGACTTAATTTACAATTCAACAACTAACACTCCATCCTTGGACAAGCTCAAACTCGCAAACAAATCTCGCAACTCACCCATCGAGATATGACTCAAAGCATCAACAACCACATTTTCCATTCCCGGATGATACTCATTCAAACAATTATAATCCTTTAATAGCTTAACCGAACACCTTTACCTCAAATTAAACTCCTTCTGAATAAGGATATCTCTTCCCACGTGATCTTTCCCACGCAAAATATGAGAATTAATACTACCATGCAAAGTACTCCCTTGGCTGCATCGTGTATGGATCTGGACGTTCCCAATTTGACTCCTAAAGTGTTGAATCAAAATAGAGTAAAAACTCTAATTGATCGAGAAGAAGAAAAAACTCTTTAGAATAATCTCACAAAATTGCAAAAGGGAAGAACTCTTAAGAAAGCTTTCAAATGCTTATAATTAAGCTTTGATTGTTGGATGATAAAACTCAAATAAAAGTAGGGTATTTATAGGTTACAAGAAACAATCTAAACCACTCATTAAAATAAGCACTAAATAATCTAAACCATTGAAATTAAAACATGAGAAAAATACTTAATTTTCACCTAACTAAATTGATGTAAGCAATGACATCAAAACTAAATTGATGTAAGTAATGACATCAAATTAATTTAGGTGTGAACTTAT